TTTGAAGCTATTTTACCCGAGTATTGGAAAAGTTTTTGTCAAGCTACTGGTGATATGGAAAGGAGATGTAGTGAAAAATAAAACGTACGTATAACGACTGGCTAGCGTTGGACCTTGTGCGAGTTATTTTTAAAATGACTTCGCGCCTACTAAAGGAAAAAAGTCAATAAAATCAATTTACTGTTCTTTTAATTCGGTTTATATTTATTTAACTGGATAAAAGAAAGTACACGAGAGTTCATGCTTGAAAAGAAAGAGATGCCTTCGTAAATGAATTTTCCAGAGAAAATTGGCTCGTATTTATGCGCTTAGGAGAAGCCAAGAAAACACCCATACAGACAATGCTTTCGAAAGGATGCCCCATTTTGTTGAACTGGCAGTACTCAGCAGCCTTATCCATTTAGCTTTTAGTGGAGTTCGATTTACGTTAAAGACAGGCGATAATGATTAGTTAAAGGATAAAATTTTAAGTATTTTTTACAATAAAAAATCAACAGACATTAATTTTTATGCAAAATGTCCTTTAAAAATTAATGAGAGGCTATGTAAAATAAATGTGAAATTTGGATTCATCAGAGTAAAATCTATGATAAGCAGTCAAGAAAGTGGAAACGTTTTAGATTTAGAAGAACAAATTGGTTGAAGACATTTAATTAAATAAACAATATATGAATATAATTATGAAAACCAAGTTACGTTGCCGTTAATAATAATCACACTGGCAATGTACAAATAATTTTATTCTCAAAAATTTTAATACCTTAACTACTCAGCAATGTTTATTAAACCTTGAATGTTTATGTTCGTGGCGCATTGTTAGCTCTGCTCATTTGAATAAACCTTGTAGAAATGCGTGAGTAGATCTATTCTATCCATTGTATACACAGCTTGTCCTCCAGATTTCTTCGTCTGATTACATATTGATTATGTGAAAAGACGCTTGCCTCTTGTAAAGGCATTAAATATCCTATGTTTTTTAAATAAATACTGTGCTTGTCTAGTTTTAATATCAAAGTTTGTAAAGGTTTCTATTTTTACAAGATTTCATTTTTTTCTTGCCTTATAATATCAGTTATCTTTTGCAACCAAACTATTGCAAGTGAATCGCTATGAATGTTAAGTAAGACTATTTTTTCATTTCTATCAACATCAATTTAAGTAGAGTATATGTATGTAACAAGAATTTATCTTGTTTCCAGACTCGCAAATATTTTTTCACTTGCTGTAAATTTAAAATCTCTGACATTGTCATTTCGACAAACGGATTGAGAATGCTTTGTCTTCAAAAGTTGGTTCCTCTTTAAAAATTAGAATCTTCTATTTTAAAGAAAACATTGTACTTTTTTTACTTAATTTTATGGTTACTGGTCTATGTTTTGGCTCTATTTTTATAGAGAGGAAAAGACTTACCTGAAACATTCAGCCATTTGAAGTCTTCAAATTGAAACTTCAACATTTCCTACCCTTAACTTTAAGAATTCTAAAAATTGCAGGGAACAATTATTCCATACATAAACAAGTTAAATAATCAAATTTTTAAGAAAACTGGGGAAGGTATATTGCTTTCTTTAAAACTGCAAAATTTATCATTTACATATTTGAAGTTCGTGAACTTTCAAAAGACGTTAGGGGGCGATACATTCTTCTGTTTAATTTTCTGTTTTATTGTGACTTCTTCATTTTACTTTTATGAATCGGTTAGTCGGTTTATAGATTCAGAGTGTATGTTTGACTGAAATATATTTTCCTCATTTTGTAATGATTTAAATAGTATTATCGGCATTCTTGTCGATAAATTATGTCAGTTACAATGTGACATAATATATTATAACTTAATAATACACTTTCCTCAGGTTCTTCCCATGAAAGAGAGGCGCAGTGCATTATGGTTATGGTGTAGTCTAAAAGGAAAATCTATTATTTAAATATAAGTTGGCTTTTCTTTGCATTCTTCTGACTTTGGCATAGACTCTGAATGGTTTAGCTTTGTTTCCTCTGCTTTACGATTATATTGTCGAAAATTTCCTTAAATATTTGTGTTTATTTTTACTTATTATTATTATTCTTTGTAATATATATATATATATATGTTATGTATATAAAATAATGAGAAATTTGTAACCTAATTCAGGAAGTCATGAAAGAAAGGAAATTCAAAACCATTAATATTGGGATATTTCTGTTTAAAAAACATTTTGTGAGATAATATACTTTGACAGTGAAAATTACTTTTTTCCTTTTCTTAATTTCTTCCTCGTTCCGACACGACAATTAGCCAGAAATTAATTAACTTCCATTCACTAGTATATTCAAAATTTCAACAGACGGTTTCACTCACATAAGAACTCCGCAACAAACGTCCCTCAAGCATTCCTAGTCCCTCCCTTATCAAACAAATTACTTTCCACAAGTTTCGCCGTCTGAAATAATTCAAAGCGTCCGCTGTCGATATGGAAGCGGGCGCTTTTTCACAACCCTTCTGAGTAAGACGCCGAAGAAAACACTTTGCCCACATCCCACTAGAAAGAACATAAGTTAATTAATGCCTTTTCTGGCCTTTTATATCTTCATGTACATTCCCTTTTCTTATTATATATACATTAATTTTCAATTTTTATTATTATTTGATTTGTTTTTGCAAAGATTGCATTATATTTCTTAATTTTCTAATGTTTATTTCAATTACTTTGAGTTCTATTTCATAATTCCAATTACCAATGTTTAATTTTTTACAAATAGTTTTGAATTAAAATGCATAAAAACGAGGGTGTCGGGGGACAATTACTCAAGTATTATATCAATTTTACTACATAAATTTTCACTCAAAATTGTATTAGCGAAAATGCTTAATAAGAATGAGTTCTTTGGTACTCTACTTTGGTTCTAAATATCTTCACTTCACGGAAATATTTGGCCTAACTTAATTTGCCAGTTTGGCATCACCATTATTACTTGAGTAAAAGACGAAACACCTTCGTATTTATTATTAATATTGGTCATTGAACGGGAGTGGTTTGTTCCCTTGAAAAGTCAACTATTTCCGATCAATGACAATAATTACTTACCTTTAATTTAATTTATTTTTCCAATTGAAATTTTGTTATTCATGATTTAATTCAAGTCCCTGCAAAACCTTTGTAGCAATTTACATTCAAGTTACTTTAAAACAATTTTCGGAATTAAACTTCCTCCCTATGGGTTCCCTCTTTTTAGATACTTCTACTAAAATTAATATTAGGAAACAATATAATCAATATTTCTTTAGTAAGTAAATTATTATTATCTTACTTTGCAGCTATTGCGCAAGTATTAGAAAAATTTGCTTTCGAACTAAGTGAATTTAAAATCATACAACATTATATATATATATGTATATTTCTAGCATAGCATTTTATGTGTACTTCTATTTAATTGAATTAATGGCCACATATTGTATGTATTTATTCCATACCTTCAAATTTTGATTCGATTAAAGTTTGAACCAAAAATTGTGAAAAAGGAGGTATGCGTAGAAACACTTTGTCACCAGACTTGCGACTTTTGATGATATATTGCATAGTTGGATACATTCTGAAAGTTGACGGAAAGCTTATTTTCGAAACCTATATGCGAATTTTCTCAAAGCTTCCAGAAGTACCCTTGAGCAGCCCTGGAAATATCAGTTGCATTAGAGGCTGTGGTCGGTTAGGCTATTTAATTAGTTCAGAGTTTGCGACTGTTTTGTTAGAAAATATCTCGCTCTTTGATTACAGCTTTTGATCTTGTTGTGCATGTGATTTTGTCATCATACAATTTTGAAGATCTGCGATGATTATCTTGCCGTTAAGGAGAATTTGCCTAGTCTTTATTTTTTTGATTGGGCTATTTATAGCTGTTTTTCTCTTTGTGTGATTTGTTACTTTTTAAAATAAAGTCTGAATTTCTTCATGTTCATCCGGCATCGTTTTGAGGGGAAATTTCCGAAACGGTAGTATGCGGTATTTAATATTACCACTTAAACATGCTAAAGATTCCAGAGTTTTTAAAGCATCATATGAAATCCATATTAAGTTTTCCTTAAAATTAATTTTGAAGTTACGTCATCATATGATAATTTAAATGGATATATATATATATATATATTTAAATATAAGTGATTTTTAATTAGAGCTCTTAATATAAATTGCATTTCGGAGGAAAAAATCATAATTCGCTTACTAAAATTTTTAATATAACTTTTGGTTTAAATTTTTAAACAATTTAAAAAAAAATAAGTGAGAGTTAAAATGAACGAAAATGGCGATAATGCCATTTTCGCAAATTTTCTGTTATTCTGCAAAGAAATGTATGAAGTGTAAATTCGAAAACTGATAATCCGGGGTAACAATATGGCTTTCTATACTATGATTGTTACATACATTATTTTAATTGCTATAATCAGCCTTTCTCATTCACACGAGTAATGTATTACATCAATGTAAGTAAGGGCATCTATTTCCGTGACATGTGCTTTCTTAACATAATGTTATTAAAATTTGAAATCTTTGATAGCCATACAGTGTAGTTGTTCAAATATATTTTAGCGTCAGGAACTTCAGGGAAATGAAACATTCCTGAAAACCTTTTTCTTTTAATATTTCATCCTCTTGTGACATATTATATAAACCGTAGTTTGTATATACTAAAAACGCATATTGATAATATAAAGAAATTACTCATGATGCGGTTTCCTTTTGAATGAGGAAGAAAGTAGTAGGAAGCTTATATTGCTTTGGTATTACATCTAAACATGTCATAATGGGTAAAGCATGTATTGATAATCAGTACTCTGGAACGCGGTGTTTCTTATAACATTGTTTTCAAGTTTCGTTCTTTGAACTTAGTCATCCGAGACATATACATTCGGCCAATCAATGACTTGGGCCTGGAGCTGAATTGTGACTTCTCTTCTTTTTTCTAGCCGCATCTCAAATCCAACCACTAGACAGCTTCCATTCTCGCCCATGTGACCGGTCGGAAATTTCCGGAAAAAGAGCACGGTGGCATCATTAACCTTTTAAAGTACAACTCCTCTCTTGAAGAGCAGGCAGAACACTCTTTCTCACCTTTGCAGTAACATCATTTACAGTCTGAAAATGAATTCCCTCGTCACGCTTTTATCCTGCTGCATGCTGTTGTTGATGTTGGCCAGCGCTAGCGATAAAGATTTGAAACCGAAGGGACTTATGAGCGAATTGGTTCAAAAACCCATTTTTTACGCTGGAGAAGTGAGATCGGTAAGTAAATTTTTTATCTTTAGAAATTTTTTATCTCATAATATAATTATTCCATCTCTCAAAAGGAAAATTTTGTGAAACATTAATACAGAATTTCACTAAGCTTGTACTCGAGAGGCTATTCGTAGCTAAGTTAAAAAATATTACTAAAATGATCTAAAATTTGTTTTGATGAAAAAATGATCTAAAATTTGTTTTGATTTTCATTTTAGATCAAAACAAATGATCTAAAATTTGTTTTGATCTAAAATGATCTAAAATTTGTTTTGATCTAAAATGATCTAAAATTTGTTTTGAATAAATATTTATGCTTGTTATTAGGGAATGCATGCAAACACATTTAATGATAAATACTGCTTTGTAAACTCATCAACAATCGCACATGAAGCGTCTCAATTTAACATTTGTGTTAAATTCCGTAATTTGTTGAAATACATGAGCTTTCAAATTAATGTATTTGCAATAAATGTGGTGTTTCACAAGTAAAAGTGCGTTCAATCTATAAATAAAATTTCTAAAACGATCGTATCAGACCGAATAACTAAATAACGTTAAGTGCAGTTTCGTAAAAAATAAAATAAATGGAATATGTTTTCATGTAAACTATACTGCTTTAAAAAATAATCCAACAGTTTGTACTATAATTTTGACTAAACTGGTATTAATATCGTAGACTGAAAATGAAATGAATTTATGAAACTAACTTTTTATGCAAGTTAAGATTACTAGTGTAATTACATATGGTATTGCCGAGATTTAGAAATTTGTTTTCAATTTCTCTGAAACACGGATATTTAAGAGATTTTATTTAAATTGCTCATAACATTTCAGCAATATCAACATTAAAGCAAAACTGAAAAATGTAAGAAATATCTATGTATAACTAAGAATAGAAAATTTTATAAGGATAATTAACTATGTCTATAAATACTGAAGAAAAAGAAAATATGGAAACATAACATCTTGTTTCCCCAAAGATTTCTGTCTGAAATGTTTACTTTAATATATAAACGAAACTGACTATTTATAAAAGGAAAAGACAACTATGTTTTAATCAACACATATGTTATGCCTTCCCATTTGAAAATAAAATGGAGGTTATAGTTTCTTATATTCTCGTTAATTAATCAACGAAACCAAAAACTAGTTAAAGGATATATGATATATATATACATTCAAATCTTTACAACAAAACATTGCAGAATTCTATGATTGATATTTTTCCTAACTGTTTATCGGGTTCAGAGTAATATTGCAGTTCATGGAAATTCTTTATGCTACAAAATGTAAAATAAATTTTTTTAAACTAGCACATAAATGAATTCGATCCGTGAATGATTTTCTTTCTGATTACAAATGCATATACGTGTATACTTATGTCTATACATTCATAGACGCAATGTATAAATGTAATATATCGAAAAATAAAATCATTTAAATCCAATACGTATTTAATATATGCTGTGCTATCAAAAACTCTATTGGATTCAAACGTTTTTATTTTCAATATTACCATCCGTTGTTGCATGTAATAGTGCTCAAATGGATATTGGTATCGAACTACTTCACTTGCATTATATATTTTATCTCTCTCTGTATCTACACTAAATCTCTTCTATCTACACTAAATGAGTCTACAAATGCTTAGGTTCTTAAAATTTGAGATTTTAGGGAAAATAATTGTCGTTGCTTAAAGTCCAAGTCTCATAGAAAGCTTAAAGTCTCATAGAGTTTCTGAATGCCTTTTTAAACTTCAAAAATTCTTAGTTAAATTTTAAAATATTCTTATATTTCCTCGTTACTCTTTCCTGAATTTCTGAAATATTTATAAAATGATAGTGTGTTTCCCTTTGAAGTTTTGTTTCTCTCTGATTTCCCTCTGAAGCAGTCCGAGGATGAAAAATCGGATACTGAAATCAGTCCAAAGCTAACAAGTCTGGCATGGAGCGCTGATAATGGAGAATAATAACATTATTTTTTCTGACTGCTTAATATTTGCATTGTGCGAAATGCAGTTATTGATAATGATATTTAAAGTGGACGAAAAATATTATTATTGCTTATTATTCAATCTTTGAATCTGTAACAGTAAATATCGGTGGTAAAAATATCAAACAAATAATTACATTTCAATTTTTTCCATAAATATAGGATATTTTGAAAATAATATGACGAGACATGTTTGTAATTGACAGCCTGGGATTATTTGAGAAAACTCACTTTCATAAGGTGTATATTCATATACTATATATATATATATAATCAAAAAATTAAATTGATAAATTAGAAGAATCAGATTAAACCCCCAGAAAGAAGCTAAAATTGTATAAAGAAACTTTTCACTTTTTAAATGTTTAAATCAGAATTTAATATGATCCTTTACTACCTTTGAAAATTTTTTATTATTTATTTAAAGTGGGATTGTATCTTGTGGAGTTACTTTGTATGTTTAGACAATAAAAGTAGAACGTAAATCCTGTTTCTAAAATGCAGTTTATTTTATAGGTAGCAAATTACTTTTGATTTGCATCTTTCATTCAGGATAAGTAAAATTATAGTACGAATGTAAAGTTAAAAATCAAGGAAATCATACCGATGAAAGTAATATTTACAAAATGCTGCCTGCTAAATTTTAAAAACTGCAAATAAATTTCACTTCAACTATAAATCTAGTAAAATAATTATAGCCTCAAGGCACTGTAACTCATAGCAAAAATAAACTGCTTTTATAATACATCACTTAAACGTTGCATTAGCGGTAAAAGAAGTAGTCAGAGAGTTTTAAATAAGAACGTGATCAAACTTCAGGATCCTGGATAAAGAATGGTCAAAGATAGTATATATATTTCAGTCTTCTCACATAATTTGCATAGACTTGTGGCAGCGTTAGAACTAGCTTAAAATGAAATATCTGTGACAAGAGGAGTAAGAAATGTCATAGATCACTTGGGTTAGACTAACTTTTGACTATCGATAAATTAAATCTACAAGTGAGATTTAATTTATCGATAGTCAAAAGTTTCCAAAATTTTAAAAATCCGAATTTATAAGGTGTTTTCTCTCTCCTTTCCATGTACCTTCATGGTGTAATGGAAAGCACATTCTGTGTAATCATGAGGTGTAGAGTTCGAATCGCGTTTTTTTTTTTTTTTTTTTTTTTTTTTTTCATATTTCCTGCTTTGATGACTTTTATAAAGTCATTCTTAATGACTCTATAAATTCATGAATAATTGCTATTTGAGAAGAATAATTTAAACCATCCCTTTAGCATTCTTTTTTCTAAAGATATGCTACTTGAATACTCTATAAGTTCTTCATTAAGTTTCTCTGAATTTCTGAAGTTACCTCAAAAATGAGTCTTTTCTTTTTGGGAAGCAATAAATTGCTTAATGGCAGTTGCATTGTGCTGAAGACCATTGTCATGCAACAAAAGTTGTTTACGTGATCGACATGTTAAATTCTTTTCAGAAGTCATTGTATCATTTTTACCAATTACCCGCTTGCGCCGTCAGCTACCTAAATTAGTTATAAAAACATACGTATAAATTACTTTGATAACATCTAGTGTAATTTTATGGATCAAGACAATAATTCATTGTAAAAGGAATGAAGAAATACGTTTATTGCTTTTAAATGGCTTAGTTTGTTAATGAGTAACAGGTAAATTACATATGAAACAAAAATTAAATAGCCTACGCTTTGTCGAATGGCAGCGGACTGGATCATGAAAGAAAATTTATTTTATTATATTATTTTGGGAAGTGCAAACACATTTCTTTTAAATAGCTAGATTTCCTGATTAAATTTGTAGAGCAAATACCTTACGATTTTCCAAGTAGGAACATATTCCTTATATAGTCCCCAAGTGGGAACATTTTCCTTGTCTTTATGGTTCAGTGTAATAACATAGGTATGTTGCGAAGTGGCAGCACATTGCTTTGAATTGTTTGAAAAATAAATATCTTGAGCTTTGCCAGGTGGCAATACATCGCTTTTAAATCGCTGGGTTTGTTAATCAAAATTTCATTAAATTCGCACAAAAAATTAAATTTAGGATAAATTTGAAATTCAAAATTTGGTTTGCATATGTACAGGTGGAGGACCATGTGTGTTGGAAATTTGGTAATTCTAGGTCCCGTCTTTTATCTACAATGTAAGGAACATACAGTAAAGCATACACACATACATATAAACATGCAAACAAGTTCTTCATTACTTATTAATAGAGATAAGACGGAATTTATTACCTACCTTCAGATACAAATTTTCGGTGAATTACAGCCTCTATGCGAGAATCGAAGATCACAATCTCTATATAAGACATAGAGGTGGAGTTAAAATTTTCTTGAAGAAAATCGAGATAGGATAGCTATTTTCACTTCAGTCAAACCTTAACATGTAGCAATTCGAACTTTCTTATATCTATCTAAGACAGCTATTTTATTTCCTTCTGCAATACATCTTTCGCAGAGTTTTTCCTAGCAGTATCTTTCTTGGCTTTAAGTCAATCTGCTATCAAGTCACAGATGACAACGTTTTAGCAGCAGCTGCCAAGTATTTCAACTTTTCGAGATTTTGATGGGCTACCACTTCCTAGTTCATGCATTCGGATCTCTCTGCTCTTCGTGGCACTGTGAATACCAAAAGAAAATATTAGATAACGCCAATGTTTGATTTCTTTAAGCTACGTACAGTAACAATAACACACAGAAAAACGTAATTACCCGTTTTGTGCATTTAGTTCCATTAATACTAATTTGTTATTTGTGCTCATTTAGTACCAACTTTTTATAGAAATTGCAATCTAAAAATTGCATCATTTGTTATTTACAGATGAAAATCATTAAATTGGAAATGCGATAACTGATAAACTGTTTTACTCATGGGGTAAAAGCAAAACCTGATACATGAAAAAATTAAAAACAGTATTTAAAATGTTGAAACTTGCATATGAAGTGAAATGCTGCCCAATTGTCTTCGTGTCAAAAATGATGAATAGT